AGAATTTAACTAACTAAAGACACCCAAATTTTTCGAGTTTGATAGATGGGTGTACTGTTTAAATGAACCTAAACAAATCTAATTAAGTAAATAAATACATTTGGTTGAAAATCGCGATCACAAAATCGTTTATTTCTCAACAGAATTGAGTGTATAATTATCTTTGTTGCAATTATAAGCTTAATACCACACCATTGTAATTACTAGTAAATTGTAGACATGCAAAAACGCACAAGAATGACTCAATCATCTGTAACATGCAGCTGGTGATGATACGGTTAAAATTCGTGACTCGGTGGTAAAAACAAACGTTTCATAGAATTTTCAAACGATATTCATGTTAAATTTTTATGGAATTTTTTAACGAATCATATAAGTTTCTAAGCCATACAACAAAGTTTAATAGAGGCCAGAACATTTTCTTGGAAATCAAACTGTCGGAACTTTTCAGCTATTTCTTTCAACTTTGCAATAAGAACGTGACTGCTTGACTATCGCTCACATCAAAACATTGTTTTATGATAATAGAAGAAAAAGTTGAAATTACAGATTATAATTATTGATATGAAAAAAAAATCAACAAATTTTATGTAATGGTTTATTTTATTCGTATGTATATTTTGACACGGACATAAAAATACAAAAATTTATTCGAAACTAGAAACATAAATTTATCTTCTCTTATTTTTGAAAATTGAATTTTTTTAAATATAAAGTCTAAATTTTTTATGTTTTAAATTCAAGCTTTGTACCCAGTAGTTTTTCAGAATATCAATTACTCTGTGTGGGGATAAAGCAGATCTCATGGTCGCCACAAAGTCGGGAAACCTTCCATTAAGACAATTGTAACTCCTTCTAGTCGGGTTATGTTCTCTTGAGCATTTCCCACGCACGTCCTGAGCTTGTGTTAGGGGTAAGAAACGGGGATAAATGTCTGTTTACAGACGCACAACAGCTACTCAAAGCCTTTTCTTTGCAACTTGACCGTAACGTACACACAGAAAATGACTAGAAACTAGATCCGTGCATATAAAATAAATGTTGTGTCAAACATCATGGCACGATAGTGTACACGGTTAGATACGTAGATTATAGTTAGAAACGTACATTTTATTGAGAGGTAAGCTTGGTATGTGTGTTAATATTTTGTGATGCCAGATTCTTGGGTATTCTGTACATAAATCAATGATCTACTGGTTGCATTTTCTCACCTATTCTTTGATAGAATTACAGTTACTTGTGAGTAAATTTCATATCAGATTTTTAACAGTAATGACACAAAATCCGAAGTTTTTTGACTTGTGGCCGAATATCCGTCCTGATTCTGAACCGCACACTTCAACTTCTTTTGTATGAAATAGATACAATTAGTTTAGTATTTGTCTTCAATTTCCCGGTTATTTGTAAACTTTTGTACATAAGGCGCCGGTGTTTAATTACGGAAGTCTGTTATTAACCAACTAAACAATAGAAACAAAAGTTAGCACAAACAAATTAAACCAAACGAGCGTAAACTAATCCTTTTTATTTCTCCAGAAGTCAAAATGTTAGTATTAATTCGGCATTAAATGATGGATACTGGATACAATTGGTTAAATGACAAATTACACTCGTATTGGTCGTTTATTTGATGGGCTGGTAATATATCCACAAGAATATTTTTATGCTGTAAATAAAAGTCATGAGATAAAACTGATACCACAATTGACATAATTGAATTGTTAAACGTATTGGAAAGTGGTAGAAAGCTTATTATAAACAGAGACACTTGAGGAGCCAAATTCTATAACAAAAAACAACATTTAGAAAGTATTGTTACACATATAGATAGATAGATGATCATAATATTTTTCCAGCCCACGTTTCACATCAGCAATAACATATTTAATATGCCTACTTTGAAATGGAATGATGCAAAGTACGATAATATTTTCATCTCGCGTTTCTGATGACATAATGAATGTTTTCGTGATTTGTTTTAATTTTTTCATTAAACTTTCAAGTGCTGTCGTTATGCGAACACTTGACTACTCTCTAATCAGCTCATATCTCATAATTTTCATGAGTTCATGACTTTTTTCGTACGGTGTTTCAATAATGAATTCATGTATAAGAAGTATAAGGCAATGCCTCGCAATACTTTTGTTACCTCCGGTTATTTTTTCAACACTCGAAAACGAAATTTGAAGCCGATTTATTGGTATTGAAATAATATCTGAAGGCGGATGAAGTAATATTAATAATCAAACGAGAATTGGGAAATATAGTATCATAGATTTTTTCAACTATCGCATCCCACTAAACGATTCAGATTATATTGATATACTTTCAGACATCTAATCAGATACATAAACAACATAGCGACCGTATCAAAACACTATGTATTGATGCATCATTTTGATTAGATGTATCCTTCAATTATTAAAAATTTCTTTTACGCCCGTTAATCTTGGATTATCGAATTCGAACTCGTTTTGATTTAATATCAAAAGTTTGTTCTAATCTTTTTATAAAAATATTTACATAAGAACTTTGGCTGTTTCGTGTGTAAGTATGATATGATAGGTAAGTAGGGAATATATGACTCCAAACCATGTTACTTCAGAATCTTGGATGTACATAATAATGAAAAAATTTGCAAAATTTCTATGTATGTTTTTTAGAAATTGTGACTTACAAATACAAGTTTTAATTCTTTTTTGAAAACGTTAAAATATTTTGCAGAAGCCAAAGCTGTGCTACTCAGCGTGGCCAAGAGAGCAAATGATAGTTTTCAAATTAAAACTCAGTATTTTGGCAACTACTATTTTGTTCGCTCCCAACTTGCTCATTTTTTGTCCTGACCTATTATGTTTTCTATTGGTCAATACACATTATCCGAACTAATATTCGATGTAATGGGTCATAATGTGAAACATTTGATTCAATGAGATTGACGTTTATGCAATTAACGTCCCAATTACTTCATACTTGACGCAGGTAATTACACTTGATTGAAAAATTCCTTTCGATTGATGTGTTTGACTGATTTACCACTCTGCAAATAGACAAATCCATTTGAATTATGCCAAATCAAAAATCGTTGTGTCTTTTCAATAATGAACTTTGCTACAATTTTATTTATACGCTCGATGAGGTTAACTTTAAATTTTAAGTTGTACTAAGAGTCTTTTCGTAAACAAAATCAATGTAAATGACTTAATTCTACAATAATGGCGGAAGAAAATGAATTGTATTCTCAACTTATTGCTAACGATAACTTTTTTTCCTTATAAAAAAATTCGTCTAAAATGCACATAATTGATAAAAAATATATATTACAATATTGTAAAATCATTTGAAACTGAAATACAATAAAAAATATACTGCCAAAATGAACAAATTCCATATCGTAAATCCCAAGACTTCCATTTAATGCGAAAAATTATATACACAATTTAAAAAACAGTCATGCAACCCGATCTCTCTTGACTATGTTTATCCTTCATTACATGAATGTATGCCATCAAACACTTGTTGACAGATGTAATAATTATGGATATTCTACAATCTAGACAGATCAAACAAACCACACATAAAACATTACTTTTCTCCCACATACTGAGCTACATATCGAAACTTTGTTTAGACTTGTACAGCATGGTACGGTTTTAATTAGTAAATAGAATTGCAAAACAACAATTATATTATAGTAAAATAAAATGACATAATGTTGATTTTAGATTGAAAATACTATTTTGGTTGATTCTGAATAAGATTTCATTGACATATTTTATATATTTATTATTCATATACTATTATATTTTCAGCCAAATTACTAAAGTGGTGCAGATTTTATATAAGCGAAGATTCCGATCAGCTTCCTCCGCCATTTTATATTTTTACGCGTCTACCTGAGCGAGTCTTTTAATCACCGGTTCGAGTGATTCTCTCTCATTTCGAATTACTCATTTTAATCGTCGTGTTGTTATTAAACGGATCACATTCGCTTTCTTCTCTAGTAAGTAAGTTGTCATATTTATTCATAGACTGTCGCTCAGCTCTATCATACTGGATAAAATCTGATTGGAAGGAATAACTATCTAAATTAAAAATCTGTGTAGATAAAGTGCAGGTAGGACTATGATACTGCCTACCAGAAAGGGCATCTTTTTTGTCAGTGCTTTTTTTTTTTAAATGGTTGCTTCATGTTTTAGTTACGGTGGGTAGCACAGAGTGTATTGTGACTAAATAGCGTTCCGCATTATGAAAAATAGGTGTGTGGCGCCTAGTCGGTTGAAAGTAAAGCGTCATACATAAATCAGTGTTAAACTATAATTCGAGCGAGACGAGATAGTTCTTGTTTACGGCGTAGGTAGCTGCAGCGATGTTTCGCATGCCCCCTAGCTGCATGTCATATTCATCTGTTTGTGACAGTACGTATACACCGTTTCAAAATATAGACGTGAAGTCTGGTGCGGACATACTGGTAAGACTGGCATGTTGACGCAAATTCGTTCTATATTTAATCCCATTTGTACGATAACTTTGATACAAATATACACTGCCATCAACTTATCTTACAAATGGACTTAAATGTTTCCGGTTGAGGGAATATGTAGGTATGCTTCGTGCACGTATCGCAATTGCAAAGTAGTCCGTACATGATATCGGGATGGTTAGGGCAGTTAATGAGCTGTTATGATCTTCAATTAGGCTACAACAAGAAGCAGGTCGTCGAGAGATAAACACATGTCATATGGGTGAGTAAAGGACGATAAGCTTGGAAATTTAGCAGGTTCGTACAGTAGGAGTGTATCAGTTTTATTTTGTGCTTTACCAGTTATCGGTGTACATGTTTCGCACGTCAAAATTAGGAATTGTGGTAGAAACGAATATCTCACAGAGGGTATTTGTACAGTGAAGCAAAGGAAAGCGACAGACATACTCCTTTTAAAAAGAACATAGTACTCCATGAAAATGATACAAAGAGCAAATAGAATTGTTTTTAATATTATTTTTTGTTTACGTATAGATTATCCTAGATACAGTAATTTTTTTCGAAGTGGCGAAACACAAACATTCACAAACTGGATACGTAACATGCTATCCAGTCCCCAAATATCGACACCGTTTTCAGTCAAAGATATTTTGAATCTCGAAAGACAACGACAGGAGGCATCTTTTTTATCGGAAGAAATTTCACAAGACTCTGAGATCATTTCACAGTCGTTGAACTCTGTAACGACATCGCCTCAAATCGAGAGGACTCCAGAATTTCAAGGGAACAAAAACGAACTTAGGTACGGTATCGATTCATCGGAATCCCTGATCTCGAATATTTGTCACAATATGGCGACCGACGGGTTTTCAAAAGCGGCGAACGGACATGCTTTTTCATATATGCCGGACATGCCCCCACATGGATACAACACAAGTTCAATAACAGCACACAGCGTCGACAAAACTACAACCAATTTCGGAAATTTTCAATCAACTATGAATCGGGACGATCCGCAATCTGGTTCTCCGATAAATATTGTTCCGTATTACAATGGCAATAAGTCTAGTTCGCCATACGGGCAAGGTTTTGCACCTACTTCAACTGAAGATATTAAAGAATCTGTGCAAAGAGTAGACAGAGTTAGTCCCGATTCCGTAAACCAATTTCCATATGAGGCGATGTCATCCCACACAAAAATAACGTCGCTAAAATCTAATGATTGCGTCGGTAACGAATTTCCATCATCAACATCTCCTCGCATTGCGACCACAGGTTACCACCATAGCGATTTGGGCTATTCAACAACGTACCAGTCGTCGTCATCAAGTCAACCCCACGTTGCACCATATCCATTTGGCTACTCACACCAACCGTATTCAAGCTCTCAAGAAGCGACACAGCAACAGAACATCGAAATGAATGTAAGCCAGCCTCAGTACACAAGCCTGTCCTACACACCACGCCACCAACTGGGTGTCCCAAGCGAATCTTCCCCTCATTCAGCTCATTACTACAGCCAAGGACACACAGCATCAGATGATGGAAGCGACGATGTGATTGATCCCACTGGCCCGGCAGAATTGGTTGGTTCTGTACTTTCAAAAACACCATTTTCATCTGGAGGAGCAGTTTTCCAATCAAGCAACGAGTTAACTCATGCAAGCGAAAGAGTTCATGACCTCGATGACCAATTTAACAGAGATACAAACACAAGATCCACAGAATCAGATGCAGCGCAAGACGACATAAGCAGCCACATGGGAGGTTAGTATATTTATATCACATATATTATCATAAAATGCTGTATTTAAAATTTATTTTAGCTGTTTATTTGATACCTATGTCACCGGTAGTTTGATAAATGCTCATTCTGTTGGTCGTGTTGGAATCGCGGGGCGCATAGTTGTGATTATCGGTAGTCTCGTAGGCGACAGGGGACTTGTTTTGTCAGACGGTGTACGAAGATAAGCCAAGAAAACAAAAGTGACATATTTTGATACAAAGGTGTGTTTTTATCCACAGATTTAATTCTTTTGTGCGTTATCATTATACTGTGATAGTCCTTTTCTAGATTCCACATTTCGTCTGTTTATCTGGATGAGTACACATTGGACGTATTTGACTAGAACTGTCCGACTGGTCAAGAGCCGTGTTGGGTGTCCCAAATCCCTTGTCAATACCTACTTGAAATTATCCTTCAGCAATCATGTTATCATCCTTTAATACTAAATGCAAATAATGATATCAATGATTGTATAACAGTAGGCTTGTTCTAAAATAATTTTAAGAATAAATCATATAGACGCCATAACATCGATAGAACTTTGATATATTGTATTACTTCGCAGTATCACGATATGTGAAATAGCTTCTTTGTTCAGTGAGTTAATAATGACCTTTAACAAAACCACATTAAACTACATTGCGGTGAATAATTATACGATGAATGACAAGGCTTAACCTATCGTGATTATCTTGTCGTCGTTCAGGCATTTTTGGGACTGGATTTAATGAAAACGAAGACGAATGCCTATCGTTCGATATTTCACAATGTGGAGAGATTTTAATTTAATAATAAGTAATAGTAAATCATATAGAATCTGTAAACTAAAAGGTCTGAAACCCTATTTTTTTCCATGAAATCATACTTCATTAAATGAATATGGAATTCCGATTATCCTGTTATACTATTCTAGATAGACTATTATTGCATAATGAGTTTTCAGCTACGGATTTTAATAAAATTACTAAAACTTCAAAACTATTTGAAATAAGCATGCGCCAAAATCGGGTCTTATTTTAATTTTACAACTAGACTGCTTATTGAATTTAAAACCACGCCCACATCACACCAGTCACGGTTATGTGCCTGAGACCATCCGAAACTAAAACACTTTCTGTTGTTCAGTGAAATATTATAATTATACTCATGCCACAAAGTGTTGACAATAAAATTTCAAATTTTTATACATCATGGATCTAAGATATGTTAATTATAATAGAATAGAATCGTCGTCCCAAACTATGACGTCATACTCAGTAAGATGTGGAATAGGTTTATGCAAGTCTTGATATTTAATGACGTCGTGCACCACACCGCCTCCTTGATCTGTTTAAAAGTAGGGTACTTGATGAGTTTCAAACGTTAAACAAACTGATGTTGTTATTCTTAAGTAGGTAAATATTTGAATAGCTTTGTACGACGTTGTATCTGCTTTTATTTAGTGTCAATGAATGAATGGTCGAACAATCTAGCAGACATAATGTCGTAAATTGATGCCACAGTTGGGTTGTCAATGATGAGTTAACTCATTACTATATGTACTTTCAGAAACTTAAACAGAGTACAAATATAAATATTTAGAAGTTGAAATAAATCAGCGACTCAAAGGTCATAATTTCCTCGGTTTATCTAAAAATTACTTATTGTATCCTTGCGTAATAAATTTTGATGTTTTATAAAACTTCCATAAAAATATATAAATTTCAGGCCAACTTTATCAAAATTGATTACACGCAACATCGCGACTGATGAAATTTTCGATGATTTTTCATTGAACTTTTTCTATTTTCCGTACACCACGGAATCTCGAGTTCACGGTGGAGATAGATTTTTATAATAATTTGAATACCTTTTATTGTAGTGAGTCAGTGGGGTAACCAGAATTAATATTTTAAGAACGCGAGAATTGTATTGCGTCATAATTTGTGACGGCATTAAATTGGTGGGAACGATGACATCGATTGTAGGCGGGACTACATGAACATTATTCATAATGAATAGAGATATCTTTCATTTCTTGGGGGATTAAACTATCGTTACTAGTCAAGTCGGGTCAGGCCGCATGACTCCATTTTTCTTTACCAATCCCAAATTTTCAACTTTAAAAAAGTGATAAGCTCAAGAAACCTCTGATATAAATAGTAGTTTTCGTGGAATCGCTAAATTGCTTCAGTGTCGTTCATTGGAAGTCAAAAATTGGTGGACCAAATAAGAATCAATAACACCAAACTTGTTTGAATGTTCAAACATTACTTGTGGAAAATGCAAACTACCAAACCCGCTTAATTTGTCGTGTACGTTATTGACGACGATTACATTTGTATCTAGACTATATCGTAGCATAGTTTTAGAAAATGATCCGAGTTTTGGCGCCTGTACTCTTTCTTATTCTAGAGACGGGTTGATTGAACAAAACAAAAGGCGTTAAACAAACGTTTTTACAAATCGGTGCTTGGTTCGACGCGTTAATTATTTCACACGCCTGGATGTCTGCTACCTACGGCTGACGACGCCTCGTTGCAAATTTTTCTTCACGGACGAAGTAATGTTCCGGATACGTGTGACTCAGGATTTACAACATGATTGGTTTTTTAAACGTAAGCCTATGTGATATGACCTGTTCAAATTTACGCAGGACTGGGCAGTGTTTTCACAATGTCCGAAAAATTCTTGAAAAGTATCCGTCAATTATTTGACAGAATGACGGAAGACAAACGAGTCTTTTTGTGACTACTTGATGTCGATTGCGTGAGAAACAAATTAAACTATACAAATTGCCTCCAAACTTTCACAAAATAAAAAAAATTTCACAAACTATAATTTTATAACGTATTCAGGCCAAGGAATTCACGAATATATACTATCGAGTTCACATTTTATAAAGTCGCGAGATCAGTTGATGAAATATTTTATTAACGCTTTTCGCAGTCTTGCAAAGTTTAAAATATAAATGACAGAATATAGAGAAAAAACATTTCGTGCAATAAAACATATTCGTGATACATTTTCTGGTTTATGATTCAACGTAAATCAGAGCGAATCATGTAATTAATCTCCAAACTGGTAATTAAATGACTTAGGTTTGGTTGACGTAATCTACGCAGGCTAACTCCTTTTTAATTACACCATGTAATTTAAAGGCGGAGAAAAATGTATGCTCTGTGATTTGTTTTATAAGCTAGAAGAAAATAGTAATTATTTGTAAGAAGAAATGGTTTGATCGCATTCTTTTTTGTTAGCATAATTTATGCCACACTGTTGTAAAATACAATAATTTACTAATAATTGTCTGTAAATCATTATGCGAAAATTTATGCTTAACTGGTATGTTCAAACTAGAAATGAGTCGCATTTGAAAGATTGGTATAATCAGAACAAAATATTTACCAAAATAGTTGGTTTTTTGTGATATCACTTATTTTGAACCTAATTTTCAAAAGTGAATTTTTCAGTTTTTGATTCATTTTCATAGTTTTATAAAATAATTCATATGAAAAAGCGCGTTTTTTTTACTTTTCTCATCAACTCCAATTATGGTTTCGCTTTTTTCTTTTTTCGAAGAATTATTTCTGTGGGGACATTATTCAATAAAATCTTTCCGAAACTAAGTCACCTAGATTTCTATTCATTACTCGAATAATCTACACGGGTGACTATCAAAACAACAAAATTAACAATGAAAATATGTGGAGGCGTTGGCAAAAGAAATTTACCAAATTTGGGAATGATGTCGAAGTTTTTAAATCAAAATGGAGACACCTGGAGTTATTCGAAAACAAATTTTTAGTCAGAAAAACAAGTCTATTAATTGTTGAGTGACTTTCGTCAATTTTTTGATGACTTTGTTATTTTCGGATGTAATTTGACAGAAATTTCAGAAAAACATGTCAGTTCATCCACAAAAATAAATGTGGTTTTAATTGGAAAATATGCATTTCGAAACTAAAAATAAGATTCTCTTTGTTTGAATCGACTAGAAATAATGATGAAAATTGTTGAAATGTAAAATCCAAAAAATAGATGTCAATATTTTGAAATATTTGTAGATTTTGCACAATAAAGAAACCACGAAGTATCAATGTATAACATTCGTTTTGCGATTTAGAATTAAACTTACATAGAAAAGCATCATCTTTAATATAATACTGTATTTCACAATCTAAACTTATTTTTTGTAAGTTTTGTTTGATTTTATCCGTTTAATATATTCTTTTCATCTTTAATTCCAATGTAGGTAAATAAGTTTTCTTACTCCATTTAACCATGAATGGAATCACAATCCTTAATAGCAAAACAAGATGTCAAACTGCCTTGCCTCACTTAGAAACTTTAGGAAGTAGGTTAATAAACAGCCATTCTTTATAGCTTCTAGTTTGTAATCAAACAGAAATAATGGTAGTAGAGTGATGTCAGATTTAATTATTTAAGTGCATAAGTATTGAAGTGTGTTTGGTATTTCATACTGCAGTGACGTGCTTTACAAAATGGCGGAATTCAAAACTATGTGTATTAACATGCAGTATGGCAATATCGTACAGTTACTTAATCTTAATCGAGTATTATAGTCTACTAAATAGAGGGTAAATTACATACAAAATAATATTATAATATTTATTACTATTTCATATGTAACTTTATGGTCGTATTAGATTGTTTATGATTGGCGTATTTGTTATAGTAAGATCGTTTTAATTGCGGTATTCAATCATTTTTAAACGATAAAATTTAATTAGTTATACCTGATTATATTTACATAATAGCACATGTAATTTTGTTTCATAATTTAAATTTTAATTGCTCTGAACGTGACTTGTAACTATGTAACTAGACTATCATCGTGGCATAAAATCCAAACCTATTTCCTCTATCTCACAACTGGTCTCATAGACTGAGATATGCTGTACCGAAAAGGAAAATCCGTTACATTGAATATATTATATATGTTACATTAAATATAAACAGGAATTCAAAATTTAGAACATGAATTGACCACCGGCATTGTCATTTCTTTTTAGAATCAGAAAAGTCGGACAACATCAGCAATTGTAGTGGAAGTCCAGAAGATGACGACAAAAAGCGGCAAGACGATGACCAGTCTAAAAATCGTCAACGAACAAGACGTAAGCCAAGAGTATTATTCTCCCAAGCTCAAGTGTTTGAGTTAGAACGAAGATTCAAACAACAGCGATATTTGTCAGCACCAGAAAGAGAACACCTGGCGCAAATATTGAAACTTACTTCAACACAAGTAAAAATATGGTTTCAAAACCGTCGGTATAAATGCAAGCGACAGCGTCAGGATAAAACTCTCGAACTAGCAAGCGCGTGCCCGCCAAGAAGAGTCGCCGTTCCTGTTCTTGTACGAGATGGCAAACCATGTCTAGGTAGCCCAACGGGAATGGGTGGTGGCCATCCTTCTTTTCAAGCTCCGTACTCTGCCCCGTATAATGTAACAGTTTCGCCGTATCATAGCTACCCAAGTTCATACAGTTCATGTGGATACAATACGTACCATCACCCCCATAATCCGAATGGCTATTCTACTAACGCCGCGGCGGCAGCTGCCGCAGCTGCATATGGATCTGCGGCCGCGGTATCCGCAGGATATAACGGTCTTTCAGCCGGGGCAGCAATGGGATCAGGAATGGGTACCGTAGGCGGTATGGCCAATCCAGCTCTTCATCATCAAAGCACAGTCGGAGCGGCGCCATTTTCAACAATGCAGGGACAAATGCAACAACAAACTGGCATTAGAAATCACTCAGCAAGCGATTATATGTATAAGTTGGGACTTTGCACCTAATAAAATTATAGCGAAGTACAATGTCGTATAATGCAATATGCAGCATGAATTATATTTGTTGTACGCCATGATGTGATCCCTCCATGACCTACATAGTTTTTCAAGATCACGCTGTATCATGACGTGTGACTTTATGATACATTTGCGAAACTTTGTTGAAATGCAAGCAAACTTGCAGAACGGATTTTTTACATTAACAATATTTAATGCAGTATATATATCAGATATGATTCAAAAGGGTATTGATTTCTATAAAACGTTATTAGTGGAGATTAAGTAAAAACTCCGGAAAAAATTAAATGTTCTGTAACTGAAAGAAGCGTAACGAGTAAAATTTAGCACAATCTGTACTTTTTCTGAAACTGCTAATATTATTGCATTCGAGAAGAGTCAAAAATACTTTGAATGAGAAAAATTAGTTGCAAATAAATAAACTTCTTCAAATTGCGCCTTTTTTGCTTCTGAAGACAAGCTTCATTTCTAAACAATCTACGTATTTGATCAGATTTTTTTTGGTGAACCTAGCTAGCCTACATATTCGAATTTAATGCGTGTTTTGTGTTTATAGGCATTATTCACTTACAAGCTATTACATGGATATTTTATAAATTTTCTTATGTTGCTAGATTTTGACCACGCAAATGAGAAATATATTCATAAAACATACTCCAATAAAATTAGAAATATCTCTCACGACACGCGGCTGTGAATTGCAATTTTTACAAAATAAATCCTGCTGATATAATAATGCTACAGCATAGTGCAATTACGTACTTTTAATACGATTGTTTCGTTGTTTGATTTTTCGTTTTATTTTATTCATTCTTTGTTCTCTTTTTATAAATAATATTGATTGCCTTTGCCACGAGTTGGTCAACATTGCACTAACAACACGACGAGCATGCATGTCAAAATGCGCGAATATAAATTGCTTCCAATTTCATATTTCTTTTATTCTTGAAATATCGTTGAATCTACGCACACCACCGGTAAATGATATATTTGAATACATTAAAACATCTAAATTAAAACATCTTTTGAAAAGCAGTAAATTCTCGATGATAAAGTTTTTAAAATATCGTTTTTTTTCGTAAAATACCAGCGTTTCGCAATTTCCTTTTTGGTTCATAAATTTCGACAATTCATTCATTGTTTTATTTTATGAAAATTTCATTTCTATCACTAGAAAAGTATCGTTACCTTATGAGAAAATCACACCCTCTAATGAAACTGCTCAACAATTACTTTTATTATGTTTAATTTTTTTTTTCAAAGGTCAAGTTATCGTCATCCGTTACATAAAAAATTCATACCTAAAAAATCAAGTTACCGAATAAAAACCTGCCCAAAGTTAAACCACACTACAAAATTGTCAACGAAACTTTTCATTTTTTGTTTGTATTACTACCGCATATTAGTTTTCTTTAGTCGAAGGTCAATTCCATGAATATGTAAATTTAGCACATCGAAAACAATTAGTTTGGTCACAAATTTGAAAAAAAAATTGAAAACAAAAGCTTGTTTATTTGGGATTTTTATTGTGTTTGGAAGTTGAATAAATAACTAAATTTCGATCAATATAACGTGCCTTCTATTTGTAACGTCATCTTCGTATTCATGACATAACTAGGCGATATGTACCGTTTTTAATTATTTTGTCATTACTTATATTTTTATCGACATGACATTTAATAAATTGTCGTCAGATATCTTTTTGTCATTCTTTTGATAATGCGAGAAACGTTTTGGTTATTTAGTATTTCAGGTTCCGAACTTTGGTTCAAATCATCGCCGGTCGAATTTTATCTTCAGTCGAGTCCAACATGTTAGGTCTAGACTAAAGTATCTTGTAAGGATCCGCGCCACCCAAGCAAGCCCCAGTAGTTTTTTAATTTATATCGCTACTGCTATGTGTTGAGAAAAGAGGAAAAGACTTCAGTGCTTGACGTATCCAGTACATCAATCTCAATGCCCGCTATATATATATATATATATATATATATAGGAATTGATCTAAATCAAATCCTTTGTCAAAAAAAAACCGCACAAACAAACAACATGTTCAATGTACTCCAACACTATATCACGCACTAGGGTTTACAATCGCTTTAAATCATTAGTAGTACGTTACATCGCTTTGTTTTTCATCCTAATGTATGGTCTACTTCTTATCTACAATAGCACGCATAGAGATAAAAAGTGTCTGACTGGAAAGGGTGGTATTACGCTTAATAAATCTTCTGACATCGATACGGGGATTTGCTATCAAACTTTGACAAATCGCTATAGCGAATTGACCTTCAAACCCAGGATCGTTTGAAGGTGTTTGTTGTTTTAGCAGCTTATGCATCACTTAGTGTTTGTTGTGGTGACTTGCGTTAATTGCTATTCGCTAAGAAAATTCCCAAATTTTTCTGTCTAACAGAGAACTTAAAAAAGTAAAGAAAATTGGAAGAAATTTGAACGTAAATCTCTCATCTGACTCCCCACTTTCCGATTTGTTCCACTAGTTGACTGAACTGATAAACTCCAAACAGATGACCATCCCAAGTTTCGATCAAACAATGCCGTGTCGTTGGTGAAACAAGGCTTGACATTAAAATTGGCACATGGGTAACACTTGGCCAAGTGCATATAAATAATATTTTCCTGCTTGAAAAATAGCTGCAATAAAATGAAGCTCTCTTATTTCTATCCCTCAAAAGAGATAATTTGACGCGTATTGTTTAGGCTGTTACTGTGGATTGTTATAAAATACGTGTAGATAACGTACAATTTTTAACAGTATACCTATTTTCGCTTTAGACTAAGAGTTTCAGGACGGGTTGCCCTCAGATAGGATTATCTAAGGTAATTTGATACATGAAGACAGACTGAAGATAATCACACAGTGTAAAGACGTGGATATTGAAAATTTTATGAAGCATAACTCTGTGGGCCATCATTATCGGTAGCAAGATCTACAACCCACGGCTTACGGTAGTCGGATTTAATGATATACTGAAAGTTTAATTTTTCCCACGTTCTCTTAGGTTTTGACACATACAGATCATAGCGGATCAAAAATATCCACACCCATATGAAGGCTGCTATTTAAAATGGGTTATAATTATTGCATTAAGTTGTGATTAATTACAGCATTTAAAAAACATAAATAAGTTGTGATATAGAATAGTGAATAGACACAGTAGCATCATTATGGCATTTCTGGTTGGTCCCGGACTCAACTAAGCCGAACAAATTCAACTACCCGCTGACAAACTGCATAATGTGGGTTAATATATCAAATAATCTTTGAAAAATAAAATGTACGCTGTAGAAGCTTGCCTTACAGGGTTTATTAGCTTTCATTTTGACTAAGGCAAGAGGATGAAAATATGCAACAAAAATATATTAGGAAATATACAACAAAATTGAAAAATTTTCACCAAAAAATGACAGAATAGTACTTACTTTTCTAATATTTAGTATTTTGTAATCTCTTCTAATTTTATTTTCTCCTCAAAATTGAAACTAATTAGTGGACACTTTTCTAAAAAAAAAGATTTTTGTAATTTTTAAATGCGCGGAAACGTCAAATCTTCATCAAAACAGCTACTACGGCTGATTAAGGGGTTAATGGGGTCAGCCTCATTTCCTACAAGGTTAATTCTGTAGTTAACTGGGTCACATTAACACATTCGTATGATTCATATAAATTGAAGTCATTCATAGTGTAAATGAAAAAATATTGAAAAAACTGTAATAGAATACGAGCAATCGAATTTGATTGGTTAAAAACGATGAGTCAAATGCTGTACAATCTGAACAAAACATGTAATATTTCAATTCTCTTTATCTTGAGAAGATAGCCAAGTAACTGTTTATATACAGCCTTTTCCATATTATAAAAATAATGCAAATAAATATACCTGTTTACTTTTTAAATTGCTTATTGCTTTAAATATTTCTTTTTCAAAATCATGAATTCGTTATTACAGGATTGAAAGAGGTGCCAACATGGCTACCATTAAATACCTCAACTTTGGATTATTTATTCCTATATAATTTTAACACCTTCAAAGGAGTTTTAGCCGTAGATGTATAAACAAACCAAGCAACATCAAAACAACGCGCTCGTTTCTCAATCTAACATATATGAACATATAAAAGGATTAATCAATGAAATTTCAGTAAATGGGTTTACTTTGTCTACTAACAGCAATGATGTGTGAATCTTGTTATCACTGTGATTTATTTAATGGTGTACTTAAGGATCGAATGATTCGAATTTGTGTGATCTCGAGATTAGATATTTTCCTTGATAACTGGAGCTGAAAACTCGTCGTTTTACTTTTCAATATCTGATGTCAAAATCACATTATAACATATGACCTGGTTTGGTACTCCAAAAATATGCGCACCAAAATGTCGCACAACCTGAATCCTAACCGGTACACAATACTATGTTCAGGTTGTGCGCCATCTTGGTGCTCATACATACATCTGGATGTCCCCTGGTTTTATATCCCACATATGAATTAATGTGAAAAATATTGATATTGCTAGACCTTTATTTATTTATGGGTTATCTGAGGCACTCTGGTAAAGCATGTTTGTGAATAAGACTTTATTAATGCTCAAAACCTTATAAGGAATAATCCTAATGTTGATTTGTCTACCTTGTTAACAAACCGATTATATTTGAATAAAATATAAATTTTCTAACATTTTTCATCACTTTTTTCAGTTCTGTTCATCTAGTGAACATTGCGGTGACAAATCCAAATAGTCACGTTAAATTGATAATAGCTTTGACCACAACCGCAACATTTATACAATCTGATAATTGTTCAATGATGATAATTGTTATGGGAATTATGTTATTTATTGTAGAGAAAATTTGTTGACAATGTAAAATAGAAATAGTAAGAATTAGCTTTTAAATTTAGGCACGTTTTTGTTGGTATCTCTGTACGGAACAAGAGCTTTCACTCGTCAGAAATGTCATTGATGCTTGTTTAGAAACTGGACAACTTGAATAGACCTGATATAGTCACTGTCGATTTAGTCCCTACGCATTTGAGTTTATGATAAAATGTATTGTCGTTATAATCTAGCACAACTTTTGGTTACAGCATTCTTTATTAATCAATACAAATGATACTTTTTTATTACAACTTTTCAAATCCTTCTATTGCTCTTAACTATAATAAAATCAGATTCATATATTTTTTTTTTCATTTTGGAATAAAAGAGTTGTTACACGGTTCAAATAAAGCTATATTTTTCCCAAGATAGCAGAACAAAATTTGCTGAAGCATTTATTTTGACTCGGCTGACCATACCAAAGATATGAATGGTTGTATAATTGAACATTGTTATTGAATACTAAATTACATATGAGTGTAACATTGTAATTAGTAATTAGAATATTATATGAGCAATACCGTTTCGAGTTTTACCGCACCTCTTTTTTCCGATTGTTTTCGTTTCAGTGGATGGTGAGTGTACATGCATAATATGGTATGGTAATAATCTTTGTGAAAAGAACGTTACGACACGAAAGTCAGATGTTTAGAGAACATCTGGTACTCAGGTGTAACAAGCACGACAGAACAATTATTCGAAAACAATTTCTGCGGAATTCAAAACCAACAATTAAAATTTGTTGCAAGATTGTTGATTTTGTCAAATTGTTGTATTCAGTAAAACTTGAAGGGTAAACAAGGAAAAGGGAATGAGTTCATATCTTAACGAGATATGATTTAAAGCCTAATTCCAGGCGTTTTCTAATTGCTTATTTTTATTACTTTACCTCAGAAACCATAATATAATGAGTCAGTTGTAACAGAGTGAGTTGTAATTCAACTCCAGTTTTAAGTTTGATAACCAATTGAATAAACTGAGAGAATTTAGCAAAACTGGTTTGACTTCCAGGTGTTATATAAAAATAGGTTTCTGGTACAATTTGTAGTTTTAAATTTGGACTGGTCTCTCGAATGAAAAAAGTTTTCTACGTACGTCTTTGCTACATACAAGACCCGTTAGAATCCCGCGGGCTTTGCTGTGATGCTTCTATCAATCTCATTGATTACCGTATGTAGTTTGCATTACAGTACATATGTAGAAAAATTCCATTTTATGTGGTGTTGTTAGGTAAATCGTTAATTTCAGTAGTAAGTCCATGTGGCAATGTTCTAGCATTGTTGGTGAGAAATTAGTAATTAAAATGAGACAAACAACAATGTTAACATTAATGTTATCCTGGTCTAACCATGTTTTCGAAATTACCAATGTTCAGAAACAAGACAGGCTGTAATTATTTTATCCGAATATATGTATAATGATATAACATGTTTGCGAGGAATAAGACAATACAACATCAAAAATATACGAAATGAACTGATATTTTACCTATGAAAATGACAGTTTGCTTTAAAATTGTGTGCCAGTTACCCTTTGGAGGTGGCCCCAATACTTAGTGTGTGGTCTGGAAACAATTTTGTGTCTCATGATCGTTTGTATATCTTTACGTTGATATTTGGCAGACTTGTTGGATACGGTTCAATTCGTCTCTCCAGCAAGATTAACCCTAAGACATTTAACACCATTGTTGGAAAATATTACATAAATTATGTCAATGAAAAATAATATAGTACAACGTTGATGAATCCATTTAAAAAACAGTGAACGTTTTAGATATTCCCTTTTTCTTGGATTTTTGCTTGGATATAGTAATTTCCGCATATTTTATACAATAAAGGAATAGTCTATTTAAAATGTTCCAGAAGAGAAACAGTCCAAGCAATTAAAATGATTGACTGATAGTGATCAATACGCTATATTGTCTAGAATATTTTAGTTATAATGTGACGTGGCAGAACTGTGAAATTTTCGATAATTTATATTTTGAAAGCTATGTCATCCCTCTACATCCTTTTAAAGCATCAAAATAAAAAATGGAAGAGATAACAATTATATACCATATATTGATGAGCATCTGCAGCGAACAAGTCAAGAAGCTTTCGTTTCAAACTGATTTTATGAAACAAAGTTGATAAAGGATTTTTCAAAATGAGAATTATGGAAATATGGCTCATTTGCCTTGATTTCAGAAAAATTTTGCTAGGATAACAACTTTTGCCAGCCACGAATCGGAGATGGATGGGAACCGAAAAACAACCTTTATTTTGTGTCCATGTTTGGTTCAATATATTACATTTGGTTTTATCTTGGACAAACACGCATTCCCTTCTTATCAGTTGTCAGTCAGCGAAACAATTCATCGATAGATGTTATGTTTTATCGTCGGCTTGACTCAAAATCACTAAGTGAGTTTTGTTGTTTTTGACGCTTTCACTCACAACTCAAATACGCCGAAACGATTTTGTTGTGAAAGATTAATGAGTGGAAATAATGCTGAACATCATCTAATGTGTTTTCAGCAAAACTAGTCTAAACGAAGGAAATAATTTATGCCCTAATTGGGGAGAAACGATTTTCTTACAAAATTTTCGATCAAAGTTTTTTTGTTACTGTGATAAATCGTTTTTATTATGCAGATACAAATGTTCTCATGTCATATTGTCATTCTTAAGGTATTAGCCATTTTCCATTGTTTATTTATTTTTTTCAAGAATGATTCTCTGACGTACAATTTGGCAGAAGAACTGTCCCCTCAAAATTTATATATATATATATATCATGCCACGAATACATATTCTCGTTTAAAAGTGAATAAACCTTTCCTCACAATTAAACTCTTATTGGATGAGGCCGACAATAATAGTAGTCCGTTATAAAACTTTCTTATGTACTTTCGAATGTTTATTCGCTTGATTATCTAGTTTTTTAGAGGCAGACGTTTTAGGTATTATGATGCATTTTTTTAAAAATATGTATATACAGTTATGTGGCTGATATTAGAACGAATCAAGAATTCACAACAGCTTATATTATGTAGTATGTAAGACATGGTAGTATGAATTTATTTGTACTAGTATATTTGTTAAGATGCGGTTTTTCGCGTGTTAACTTCGTTCCGCCTATTTATAACAAATTGTACGAAACAACCTTTATGATACGGTCATTGACAAAGATAGTTCGTGAAAAGCAAGTAACACACAGAGTATTATAAGAAGACATTTTTCTCCCTGTTTTAGCAAATAAATTACAAACCAACGTCTAAGAATGTTTACTGAAGTAATTATATTGATAAAATACGCCTAGTCAAACATATATGTTAATCATATGGAATATCTACACAGTAAAGCAGTATCGAATTGTCTAAGAATATTTCGCTATGAAATCCCGTCGTATTGAAATTTCTAAATAAATTTTTTGATCAAATGAGATTTTATGGGAATGTTGTGTTATAGGGAATCAATATTTTCATACTTCCATAGAATATTGCGCGTCTACAATCTATCTGATACGCAAAAGAACAGAGCTTTTACGTTATTAATTATGCTCAATATATTTGGGCTATGGGGTAACTTTATTGAAAAATAAGCAGCAATGATTCATAAGTAATTTTCTCAATAACTAAGGGAATATCATCCAATGTTGCGTCATCGAAATTGTTCCATATCTTTACTTTAAGATGATATTTAGACAGAGTGGTTCTATTTTGCTTGACGGGCCTCAGCCTCCAAACTTTCTATTACTTTTCCTGCCAACTGCGCCACCGTACGGATAATAGGTGCTTTGCCAAATCATGGTTAACTGAATAGGCCAAATAATCAAAATATTCATCCTATTAAAGCGCCACCATACGGATTGTGGGTATTTTGTTCAATTCGCAATAAGGTTATGCCCATGGGCCGTGGAAATGGTTCTATCAATACTATAAACATGCAGAAAAGCACGGTTGAAAGTTATTCAAAAAAAAAAAATATCGTGACAAGTGATTGAAACCAACAAACGCGTTTAATTCTACCAAAATCGATTGAAAGAAATTCAAACAGACTATCAGATGATAGTTACCTATAAAAAAAACTTAGCGGCAGTCAGTGACGAGAAGACTTGTCATTGTCTAGGCGACGGGTTCTGAACCAGTGGGCAATGGACCACTGCTGGGCCACATAAACATTTTCAAGTGGGCCACATACTTTGATAAATTGCTAGAGTTGTCGATTAAGTTAGGTAAATTTGATGGTAGTAGCAATGGATGACGCAGTTCTTTGTTACAGGGTGGTAATTTTCGCGTAATTATTGTTAAACTGAAAGTGTCTATTTTCGCAGAAAGAATTCAATGTTTTTCTTGAAGTTTTGTCCACGCATGAAAATGTTAGTGGGCCACGGAATTTATGTGTAAAGAAAATGGGCCACAAAAGGAAAAAAGGTTGAAAGCCACTGGGGTAAGCATTATACATGGGCTTTATTATCGATTCTAGCACAGGACAAAAATTCCAGTTGAAATTTTTTTAATTTGATAAAAAGTAACAATATTTGTTTCACAAAAGAATTCTGTGAATACTGCGTGAAAAAAGGATTTTCTGATTTTAATCTCGTGTTATACTCGGCCGGATATCCACCCCAAAGAAAAAAAGAAGGTTCAATCCAAATTCGAAAACATGTCGTCAACATGTCGTCAAACGAATAGTTAGCAAAACTACAAAAACGAGATGATGGAAACAGCCTTGCCAGAAAATATTGTAGATTTATTTCATACATTTCACACTTTCTGGATCTCGTTTTTTTTTGTGTTCCAAGTTTTGCTTACTTCGAAAAAATGAGCCATCACATGAATTTCCCGTTTTCAAAGTTGTCAACTTATATTAGTTATCAACAAGCGTGAGGCAAATTAAGTTCGGGCCGCGTTGAGAACAGTCTGAAAAAGGAGGCAAAATCATCAGAGAGCACTGACAATCCGTACTGAATTTAAATTTGACGAAAAAGGAGAGAACGAATCCTCATTTGTGTGATTCCAAATTAGCGTAGTCCGTGTAATTTAAGTAACCTCGAGAGTCTATCTCTATTATTCTTTCTTCGTGACATTTTTGCGTTATTTTGAATTATTTAGTGAGATCATAACTGTAGTTAGAGGTATATGGATTAACGGATGAAAATACTCATTTTTAATCATAGTTTTTGAAATATATTCAACATGATAAATTTTTTAATTCTGTTGCTAAAAATCACATTTGACGAGACCAACAATACTTTTAGGTAATTTGAAATATACTTCTAAATTTTAGGCATTATTGTTATATAAACCAATTTGAGATAAAAAAAAAAACTTTCCACATATTTCATAATTAACTCAACGTTTAAATAATATATCCGCATTTAGTATCGGTAGCAACTGGTTGCAGAGAAACCATAAACAGTTAGCTCAGAATATCATCAATTAGGGTAAATTTCCATGCTGTGAAAGATGCTGTTGACTTATTAAAAATATATTTTTATGTGCGGCACACCGCAAAAATGGTTGATAAATCTACGTATTTTATGACTCTCATGCTGTGATCAAGTATAAACTATGCATGATAGTTTGGTGATCGCGTCACTGGTATTGTACATGTTGTTTATGTCACCCACAACCTGTTCTCGCTCAGAGTAAATTGATCAATTATTAACCCATCAGCCTGGATTACATCATTAAGAAATGAGAAGGTGGTTGTCAAAACTTGGATTTCGTTGACGTAATGTAAACGCGTTATTTCTCGTAAAGATTTACACTTTACAGGTTGATAAGTTCCGTTACAATTTCAATTCTATATTATTGGGTCAGCTCTCAATATATTTAACCAGGTTTGTTTAATCTGTATTTATTCAAAATTCGCTTGATCGAATACACCTCTAAAGGCTAAACAATATATGTTATCAATAAATTCTTTTATGATTTACAAAATTTGAAGACTTTATGACCAGGGTGCATCTTTGTTGTTTCGTTTACGGTGTTAAAGGGTAATTTACATCCGGCATTCCTCACATCTTTATTTGGAATTAGTTCATAGTATGAAATAAATTACCTCACATGTATATTATGCTCTGGTATTCCCCAAGAAGACAATTGTGGAAATTCCTGTCTAATTCGACTTAATAAGGTAATTGTACAAATTTTCCTCGAAATTTTGGAGAATTTCTTACATTGACCCCAACGGTATAACGTGTCATACTGGCACGTGAAAGAATAGAGAAACTGTATCAAGTTAATAGTTGGAAGATTGGCCTTAATGGTTCAAAATGCTGGTTCAACTTATCTGTCCGTCTTCGCCATAAAATGACTTGATGAAGATTTTCTGAATAAAATGCGAAGCGTTATGCTACCGTCAAGCCTTTTAGTCTGACCATACTGAGTAGCCTGTTATCATAACTCACAATAAATTTGAAATTTTTGATATTTATTTGTAGCGAGCTGAAGCACAGTTTATTGGTATATGAAGCCATGATTGCAAAAAGAAATAAAAATATATAAATAACACCGTACCAGTAAAAATAAATAAACGAAAATAAATGTGCAATATTTATGGTTAAACATAAGTAACCAACCAGTCAATGTCTTACTCCAATAAATTAACGTCTTAAATACAATATACTATTTGTCCACAGTAGAAGAAATATAAATACGTATGAAGACAAATGATCAGCTATGATAAATGAAAGTCAATCAAAGTATTTTTATCCACAAGAATAACAGCTTTATGTAATGTATATAAACGGTTGTCGGGGAAATTATACGGGAAATGAAAAAATAAAATCGAGGTAAACAAAATTATATGTATTATAATACCTTCTTCTTTTCTTGAAATACAGCTTGTCCCTAATTTTCCAAAACACCGAAGCATAAAGGATGTAAATAAATTTGCAAAAATTACCTTACAGATGTTGCTACGGTATAATGAACCAAAGTAAAAATTTCGAAATATTGAAGAAAAGTAGCATTACAGAAATCAAATGTTACAGACTGTACTATAGCAGTAAATGGTTAATTGTACCAAAATGGAATTTAGCAGCACCATATCTTTGTAATCATATATAAATCAAATAAGGGATTTCGAAAGTTGAAAAATAAATATAGAAACAATAAAGAAACACTGTTAAAAATTTTATAAATTCAACTACCGATTATTTATATTTCAGTATTTTTATATTCCAATTACAAATAAATAAATAGTAATAAATATTTTCATTACTAAGAATTTCTTTAAAATAGTAGCGAACGGCAAAATTCTTGTTGATATCAAATAGCAATCAGACTATAAAAAATTTCGAAGTTTAGTAAAAACTGTAAAAAAAATTTTTGAGTTTGAAATAATGTACAGGTACTGTATTTAATTGTTAATGTTTAATTGTAAGTCATGACAGTTGCAAAAAAACGAAGATACGAAGTAAATTAAGGTAGACACAGTCTTGGAAGCTTTTTGAATTTTCTTTTTGAGCTAATCAATCATTTCCGTTGTCTGTTCTTTTCCCTTTTTATTTTTTCTATTGTTTCTTCCTCTTTTGTCTTTTTTGTTTTTTCCTTTCTTCTCACAGCTGTGACACATCAAAATTCAATAAAATATCGAATGTAGCCCAAAAATTACTAATAGATTGGGCCCGGGCCGCAGATTCCCAGCAATGATATTAACCCCTTCCATCCTATGTAGTGTTTAGTATTAATCCCCTTGAAATTATAAGGGAGCCTGCCAATACCATGGGACTGGTGAGATATTGGGGATTTCTTTTCGTCAGTTTTTTTTGCCTAGTTTTTCAGATTGCCTATATTTTACACATATCGAAATGAATTTATTTGTAAAAATATAATCCTCTCACCTGCATGCCTTAATCATTCTATATTTTTCATTTTTTGTTCCAGTACCCGTCGGGGCAAATTCAACATCAGTCCAAATTGCGAGGGGTTGGTAATTGGGATCAGTGTTTTTATTTTCTTCTGCTGGATTCCAACATGTCTTACAACTTTCGACATAAGTGAATGTGGAAGGCGATAAATCGCCTATTTCACAGTCGAGTCTGGTATGAAACATTCAATTGTAAATGCACGATAAAATAAAACGGAAAGCGATAACAATGAACAATTTAGTCGATGTATTCTCATGGTTGGTTAATCATAAATACGCTTTATTGACATTAAAACAGAACTGTGAGGTGTCAGACGTAAAGTTAAAATATATGTATAAGTAACCGGAATTTAATAGTTGTTAAGATTTATTCGGGTACCATTTGACCCATTGTGATCTATGAATCAGTGTTCGTAAATAAATATTACGTATCAATTTGTTATTTCACGTTACGAAAAATTTAAGTTGCGCCTAAGATTCCCCCAAGTTCTCGAGTTTGGGGTTTGACCTGGTTGAGGTGGTTTCTAGTTCTACAGTAAATATTATTTAAGTGTACTCACGTATATTCGTCATATTTAGCAAATCCATCTTTCACTTCTCTTTTTATTCTTCTACAGTTATATTTTTCAACGAAACGTTTTGCCAGCCTTTTTTTGAAACTGTGGAAAATAGTTTGAAGTCAATTATTAGCAGTTGACAAATGCGAGCTTAGAATTACATCATTTTTCTCATATTCAATTCTCGTACTTCTGGTGTTTGTCAATTTATGTCCACCTCCTGCTTAATAATTAAATGGCTAATGTGGGTGAATTTTGGCGTGATATGGTATTAGCACCGTAGATATGTTAACAGTATGATAGTTTCCCGGTGGGTATTTCCCCTTGCCAATTAAAGGGGATTTTCGAATTCCTCTTTCCACTCACTTCTCAAAATGTAGGGAATTCACATCGTCGAAAATTCCAAACATCTATTTTCCACCAAAATACCAGTGTGATCTACTAAGCGACATTTTAATATATATACAACATTTTTTTATTAAATTTAACGTACATTTTTAAAAGCAACCGCACGAAAAATATTTATTGAGAAAACATTTATTATTGTTAGTGCCAATTTAAATATCATTTCATGAAAATATATCAAAAGCACTCACAGCGTAAAACCGACATTTAAAGCAGTTATTCAACACTATCCCTACTTGAGATTCGTGACGAGAGTTTGGAAACTATCCGCAGAATTTATGTACACAAAAGACTATGAAACCAAATATCTATTGTTGTAAATTAATATTTAATCTGAAGAGTCAGTCAAACAAAGAGCGCAGTGGGAACGAGCATAAGTGTAAACACATTGTAAATATTTGATTTGCGAATTAGTCACGGTAATACTTCACTGTTTTCATGTTTTTCAAGTCAAAGGCTATAGAACAATTTTACACTACCCATTAGAGAATATAATATTTGGAGAGTATTCGGTAAAAATTTAGGTATACATTAATCAAAATTTTCAAAATTAAAAATACTCTAATATTGAATCTAACATAATAAATATAATTCCATCTTTCGACAAATTTTGAATTAAAACGACTTTTAAATAAACTTGGTAACCTAACTGACTGAACACCATTCCCACATATAGATAACTTAGAGTTATGCTTTATCAATAGACTACTAATCCATAACAAATACAAAAAAATATTCATACAATTTTGGTCCTTTCTTTTTTTGTCCTCCCTTGCAAGTAACGCACGTCGTTAGGAATAGAAGGAAGAAAAATACCTGAAATAAAAATTATCTGTCAGATTTCGGTAAACTTAGTATACGCTGTATGGCTGCGCGCTCGTAAATGACTCGTGTATGGGAATGGTGAGGGAATAAACATATTTTATTGGGCCTTCTAGATTCAAGACCAGTGATTCCCAAACGGCAGGGCGCGTCCCCCAAATGGGGCAAAGATAATTTATTGAGTGGCGCTAAGCTAATTAAAAATAAAAACAATTGTTAGATTTTATGCTTTTCGACTATTTCCATTTTTTTATTGTTTAGAGATTGCGATTCCATCCACGTATTTTCAGCGTGTTTTTTGAATAAAACATATTTCGCCCTACTATCTGTTACCTGTAGCTTATCGTTAGCTAGTTATTTTTGAGGTTGGGCGCGAGACTTGAAAAGGCATAGCTAAAAACGTTTGAGAACCCCTGTTCAAGACCAAACAAAAAACAGTCGAATTCAACATAACAGGATTTTTTGTTTCTCAAGACCGTAAAGATGATGAAATGTTTAAATTTTTACCAATTTTCTGTAATATTGGTTAATATACTGATAGCAATTTTTTAACAGATCAAGTGTTGCCTCGAACAATTATTAATCTCTCTCTATATATCTACCTATTCATCATTTCTAAATTCAAAATATTGGATTAATATATATTTTATTTTAAGTCAAATATTATATTAGCTATAAGAAAATAACAGCGGTAATTTAGGTTTCAAACTTGAGGTTCGAAACTGTCAAAATATTCACTTCATAACTTGTCACTATTTAAATTTCTGGTTCAAGAAGTGATACAATTTAGCACCATCAGAAAGATTTGCTAATGCTGCTCAGATGGTTCCAACAAGACAGTATGGTTCAATTTTCTGATGAACCTTGTTTTGAAGATTATTAAACTTTCAAACAACATACTGCCCGCCAACAACATCAGAACCTACCTAAAAATTAATAGTGTATCCCAAATCTAATATTGTAGATTATTTACAGATCTCTGATAATTTTGTTTAAGAAGACAGAGAACAAAATAATCACAGTTGCCAGATTTGAGTAAGGAGAACACTTATCACCAAATAGAAACATTTCAACCCACCTCTGTAGTATATTGGAGATTCATCTTTTTGAGATGACTTTTTGGTCGTAACTTCGTCTTCTTCAAGGTGTATAACTTCAACATATGAGCCCATGTTTCAGTAGCTTGATTATTTATACCATTTGGTGGGGAAGTTTATCAGGGGAAGTACCTATGTATTTTATCATTGTAAAAGTATGAGGCATAGTTTCTGACTCGCGCTGTTGATTTAGGACGAGTACACGAGCTTTTTCCAAACATAGACAGAAAACGACAATTTACCTTCAAAACCCCCTGAGGCAACGTGAGCGAAACTGTACTTTAATAAAAACGAATCAAAATCAATATAATCACACTATGATTGAAACTTGCCTGAATATTTGGTTCCATCGTAGACAAATAATTAAAGCAAATAATTTAGGAAGTACTAAGAGCAAATAGATTTGGTTTTATTACTACGATCACAGTTTATCATAGTTAGTGGGAAAATAAATGCTGACAACGTTACGCCATGCTAACAAAATTAGTTTTTTTAAATCCGCAGAAAAACGAGCAATTATAATTTAAAATAATTCAAACGTGGATCACTTACAAACCTATTTACTTTGATAATGTTAAAAATTTTCAATCTTTTATCCTGAACTCAATCTCGTGTTGTACCCAAGGACTAAAAGCCAGTACCTACTTACTATTCATTGTAATACGAGAACGAATAATAAACTCCCGATATTTGTCCCTTGGAAAAGCAGATATTTTTCAAATGGATGAGATGTTTTACAACATATCTTACCCTATTATTTTTATCCATACATTGTTTAACAATAAAGCAAGTTTGCTCGATAGAATATCATACCTTAATCCACGTCTCTCACCTGGTTGCCCTAAATAAATCGTTTCAAAGTTTAGGCCGTTTGAATGAGGCAAAATTTGAATAGATTTAGACGGTTCCCGTACATTTGAACCCACGTACATTTGAACCCACGACAATTGCACCTGCATACTATTGCACCTATGGACATTTTTTTGTTTTGCGGATATTTGAACCCATACTAACCCTAACCCATGAGTTTTAGCACCCGGATATAGATTGAACCCGCGGATATACACATGGGTTCAAATGTACGATCACCGATATAGGCAGACGTCTTTTTATGCTCGGCGTGATTGTGACCACGGCAATGGTTGTAATTATGACTTATGGTTGATGAATTAGTAATTGAAAGCTGCGTTATCCCACATTTTCTACTGATTGATTATCATATATTTTTGAAAATTTGTTTTATTTTAGAGACTATTTTTTGGGCCCTGGTAAAGCGGTATTCAAATGTAGCTCACTGAAGTCAATGCTCATAGATATCGTTGAATTTGAAAGGATGTCGTTCCCAGTGTAGTTGTCTTTGCTACGCGTAGGTTACATTTTGACATTGAAACTAAAATAGCTTCATACTAAATGAGAGCTTCATTCAGCGCGAGGATTATTTTACCTTATAAATTCGTTACGTCGTTATAATAATTTTATGTCCCTTTTTGTGATACAATTTAGTTCACTATGTCGCCAAAGTCTGCTATCCGGTTTGAGGGCAGACATTTTTGCTACAGTTCCCCGTTTTGGGTAATTACCTACACACTACTACAATACCAGAAACTTAGATCATCTGATATGTAATGAGTAAAATGGCAGTGACACGTATTCATAGTATTTATTAATCACATAGGCAACTAGGGAGTTTTTCAACAGTTGTAATACCCATGACTAAAAGGACACACAATCCAGGTAAAAGTGAAATAAATGACGTTCGAATACCTTGATTTTAGTTAGTATATATTTACTTAAACAGGTAATTCAACAGTACTTTCGAGCAAGCAGGTGTGAATGATACAATTCAAATGGTAATAATATAAGATAGCTAGCGTTCTGGCTATGAACTTCAGTTTAAAATCTACTAACATTATTAAAATTGCTACACTTCAAAGGTCATTTTGTTTTGTGAGTTTTAAGTTTGCTTCCCTATGTATTAATAGTTTACAGTTTACACAATTCAGACGATAACAGACAATTAAATATTGCACAGGGGTTCCTCGAGCCTCTGAAAAATTCCGTTGGAATTCTAATCCACCAAGAATGAAAACTACTGCTATACAATATGTTAACATTTGAACAGAAGCTTTGATGAACAACACAAGAAAAAATGTATCGGAAAAATCCCAGCAAAACATGTAATCTACGGAGCGAGATACTGCTTTTGCTGCTATAAATTCTGGTCTTCGATGTCGTTGTGGCATCCTTGCCACTCAGCGTTACAAAAATCGTGGAACGAGGCATATTTTCACGGACTGGTGACTGTAAGCGTGACTCGTTCACATGATATGTTTTGATATGTGCACCATAATGGTGGAAATACAGTGAAGCTATTCTAATTGTATAGGATGGAAAATGTTTCTGAAAAGTCAATTCATCATATTCTTGTGTCTTGATCTTCGTTGAATTCTAGGTAGTCTGATTCTGTAATAAAATACATGATTTTGGGAAGGGTTCAGATGTGTAGCCTTTATTTATGTTGCCTTTACAAATGTCTATTACAAATAACACTCAAGAATCCCCATTGACTCTGGAATTTGAGGTTAGATCCCTATGGTGTTGGGTTACTTTTCGTACTGTATCATTTAATGAAAGTGAAAATACTGTAGTGTTTTACCATTATATTCATCATAATCCTTATTGCCTTTCATTTTTATTGATACTTTTGATTCGTCCTCCCCAGGCAAAGATCGTCCCAAGTTATCCGCCAATTCGTAGTCGTCCACTACAATAAAAATAGGAAATGTGTGACAGTGTAACTAGTGTAAGGATTAAGGATACACGGTACTCCTAAAGTATGCGCACCGGGATGTCGCACAACCTGAACCATAACCTGGTACACAACCTGAGTTCAGGTTGTGCGCCATCTTGGTGCCCATACTTCAGAGGGTCCGGATACACACTATTTAATAGGATTTCATAAATGTATTGCTCACATGACATGTAGTTTGAATGAACAGATGATGAGTCATCAGTATCAGTCTCGCTTTTCAACTCCTTGTTTATTTGTTCTGATTCAATAATAAATAACTGTTGTATTATTTCACAATTTGGCAAAGTTGTTTTGAAAACGCTTGAAATAAAAACCGCACGCCAGACATTCAAAATTTTCGTATTATTATTAGACAATAGAAAAATCAAACTTAACAACAATGGCATTCAAGAATCACATATTCCCGATATCAATTCACCTTTTTCTTCGGTAATATCTGTGCTGTTCATTAAATTCACATCTTTGTTTTTGTCATACATTGAGTATGCTTCAGAATAGAGGTTTTCTGTAATGAGGATAATACTTGATATCTAACTTTATTCAAGCGAATGTAATAGAAATGAATACAATATTCTAATTTTTATTCATTTTTCATCGATTTGACAATGAAAATGTTTGGTATTTTTGTAAGTCATCGTGATAATTGCATGTTATGTATGGCCATACGTGCGTTAGTAGTTAGTACATTTGTTAATACGTGTCATTGAACACATTAGAGTGCTTAACCAATGTTTGATGAATTTGTATTCATCTAACAATTATCACTCTAAAATAATTTGATACATTAGTCTTACTATTCGATTTCTCAGGTTCTGTCTCTGATGACTTGTCTTCTGGGACAGTTGCAATATCTGGATGATAACGCATAATCAAACAAGGCTGATGAATGATACATTTCAAAGACAAAATACGTCAAATTTATCAGTTGATTCAATACGACACACCTTTTACGTCGAAATCTTATCTTTTATATTGCAGTTTTAGTTTTTTTTACCAAAAATATCAAGAGAAGCACATCAAGCATTGTTATGCTATTCCATAACTGTGTGAATGGTCACACTGATTTCTTTCAACGACACCTATAGTTTGTGCTATAATTACCTGGTGGAATTGGTACCAAGTATCCTTCTTCATTTTCTTTCAACTCATTTGTGCTTTTGTTTCCTTCATCTGAACTCGGGACATCATAAGTCATGGAGTGCGATGGCAGTGTAGCTCGATTGTTAGCTGGTAACTGTATTAACAAATGTTAAATAATATTAATTCTAAAAAATACCTTTGGAAAAAATACGCCAATTCACCGAAGATACATATTTGAGACAGTGCTGCGTATGCCACTGTCGCGTGCACCCGGGAAGAACGTCATTAATTCGCAGGAGATATTCATTCAGAATTGTGTGAATATTCTAACTAGATATCAATCTTACCGCAGGTGGCTTTATATCCTCGTTCGAAATATACATGTACAAGGGTTCGACATTCTGGAAAATTATTGAAGCGCAATTTATACATAGATGCAGAAAAAAAAGTATACTTCACGCAGCAAAATTATTAATTACCACTCACATTCAATTCATCGTCCGGCTCAACGTAGCTTTCATTACTTACTGTTGATACGTGCCTTTGTTTTATTGTGTTTGTTGAATTAGGCTTAGAACTATCTCTCGTTGTTTTTTGGCGGCATGCATACACAATCACGAAAACAATAATTAATAAAAATAGAAGACATCCAACGACAATTCCCGCAATTCCACCAGCTGATAAGCCTAAAATTATAATGTTTTTAACACAGATAAAAAAAATGTTAGGGGTATATTACACTTTGTTACTTATCGATCTTGATCGGTAAGTATGTTGATAGGTATTTGTTTGTCTCCCTGTCTGTTAGATACACGCGATATCTCATGAAAGCGAGGTTGAATCTGCTCCAAATTTTGCCTGTGCATTCATCACATCTCGGACCAGAAGCCTATTGGATAAATTATGTCCTAAAATTAGCGAGGTATTAATTAATTAGTGATGGGACACGCGGTGTCGCTGTTGAATCACAGCGAAGGATACACGCGCTAGATCGATAAGTCAGCGGTCTCTGATCGTTATCTCGTCTATATATTGTCGATTTTTTTTTCTGATTTAATATGATAAAAGTTGATCAGAGGTGCTGGGATTGTATTGGATATGATGAAACTTGCTTACCGGTATTGTGACTTTTTTGACATTGTATTTCTTTCTTATTTTGATCTAAACAAACGCAAACAAAATCGGCCGATCCAACTTCAACGCAGATTTCATCTGATTTGCAACTGTTAGATTCACACAATCCATTGATAACTGAAACAATATTTACTATTATTTATATGCATACTCACTGAGAAATACCGTTTCTATAAATAAGGCTTGCACTTATTGCACTTGAAATTACGGATTCAACGGCATGTATCATTCGTTTTGCTGTGTTGTAACATTCTAAAGACGAATTGCACCAAATCAAGCGACAGACTGTTGCCTGCTGGCGACATCAAATCGATAACAGAATGACACGAAGTACCTGGGCGTAAAATTAATTGAATACCTTTACGATTCACTTCTATCGGAGTGAAAACAGACCAATGTTGACTCTGATGTCTGATACGATCCCCATTCTCGTTAAGACGTTCATTTAATGCATTTTTAACAACTGACAGAAGTGGAACCGAACCGTCGTCCTCCTGTAGAAATCGACTTTCCGATACAACGACGAGACTTCCTCCATAAACTTCCACTCCGACTGTAACCTGTTTTGACAGTTGCACTATAAGTTTTATAACAGGCAGCTTCAACATGGGTATTACCGGAATGACTATACGTATGGATGGAAAGAAACTGGAAATACTAGTTAGCTCAAAATGCTTCAATGAGTGGCTATGAAATTCGAAAACAATTTTCATTTTAGATCAATTTACACTGTTTATTTTATCACGAACATACCCCTCTATATCCATTTACATTCGCCAATCCGGGTGTTAGTAGATCAGTTTGTAAAGCGTTGAATATATTTCGTCGTAAAACTGTGTCTTCCAACGCACCTTCCACCTCCACAGTTATCGTTATTCGAAATATTATAGTCCCAGTTGGTTGTGGCGTGTACGTTGTCGTTTGCGGGACTGGAGACGCTGGTGATTTATTGGAACTTGGTGTTACTGCGGCGGAACCTGGAATATTTTTATCGGTCGTTATGGCAACATCATGCCATTCAGTGCTAGGCATGTTAGGAAAAGCAGTGGTTTCAAATAAAGCCGAAGTTTGTTTAGCTCCTCTTGTAGTTACTTCGACAAGTGGCACAGTTGTACCTATAGATGTTTTCATAGTTGGTAGAATTTTACTAGTAAATAAAGTCTTAGATGTTGATGCTCTTGTAGATGAAAAGGATGGAGGTGTAGATTAACTTGTCGATGAAGACGATGGGAAAAGAAGTGTAGTTGCAAATAAAGTTGTAGTGGGTAAAGTTGTATTTGTATGTTTTGTCGAATTGAGTGGATATGTGGATAAAGTCAAATTGGGCATACTTGTATGTGCAGCTAGGCCCATCGTTGTCGCTTCCATAACGTCTGATTCACCACTGAGTGTGGTTTGGATATTGTCAAATGCTGAAAAAAAAATATTCACCGATAATGGTATATTTTAATCACCGATATATAAGGATCCAAAGCAAGGTTTATTTCTGACTATACCTGGATGTATAATACATGATGATAGTTGTGGATTTTCTCTTATACAATCTTGAAATTCTGCTTCATCCACATTCATACTTGCGTATGTTTTGCTAATACAATAAGTCGCACATCTGAGAGATATACCAATGCGAAAACAGCAGTCTGAAATTTATGTAATCTCTCAAGAAATGTGCAGTGTTAGAGAATTAAAAAATATATTTGACCAAAATTATTTGAGTAACAAATTATATTTAAACGATACATAAAGGAAGTATTAAAAAATAAATTCAACAAAATAAAGATCCGAAATACTTTCTATTTCTTTTTGATCATATTCTGTGTCATTTTCATCGTCAAATTTGGACCCTGAATGAATGGAAAAAAAGATTGGCCTTTTAGGATCAACTCCAACGAAATATTATATTAATAATAATATGAAACTCCAGTGAAAGTATATATCGGCATGAAGGGTTATGTAGGCTTTAAACAGCCCTTTTTTCTATCTCAAATTTATATTTGAAGGTCTGAATTACGGCAGTTCCAAAAGATGGTAGAGCTCAACCAATCAAATGAAATTTATCATATATGATGGCGTCTGTAAAAACTAAAGTCAGAGCCAGTCTCGAAAAGTTATCCCTGACTTGCAAATTTCATGAAAAAGACATAATCATTAGACATAATGCTAGTTTTGTTAACGTATAATTGAGTCACGAAAGTAGCAAAATATCTTACAATAAGAACAGCGAATAGCAAGCAGTGCTTCTTCAAAGTTACACGATGTTTCATTTGATCCTTGTAGAATTTTTTTTGCTTCGTGAAAAGAATCTGGTGGTTCTGAGGCATGCCTGCATAGTGGTTCACAAGTATCATAAATATGATCAGCTTCACAACAATCTAAAAAAAATGTTCATCGCAAAATTCAATATTTTTATAAAAGTTTACTGCAATAAAAAATGTTTGACATTTTAAATTGCTCATTTAGAAAATATAAAATCACTACATCACAAAACTGAATTAGGGCGCTTCGACTTGATTGGTCAGTTTGTTAAAACTGAATTTATTTTTAGCATACACAATAAAACTTTCAGTTAAGTATCTTCTATCTACTATTATACTTTCCTATTTAGTGAAAAAATTGCAAGCAATAACAGCTTGTTATACTCAGCAAATCATCATCGATGATTATTCAAATAATAATAAGATATCAACTACCTCGGAGATAAATTTCCTAAATCGTATATTAACATTAAAGCAAATTACAACAATAATCATAGTTCACCTTCTGCTGATTTATTTGGTAACGACGTCACAAAACGACTTTCAATTCCAACCCAAAACACAGTTCTCGTTTGCACAAATGTACATCTGTAACAAATTACACACAATATCTTGATTTGCAACAAACTAATTTATACAAGCAGAGAACACCTTAGAAAATCAAAAGCGGTTAACAATTCAATTTTTTCCCATGAAATTTTCATTTTTTTAGTAACTTCAGTTATATATAATCTTTCAAAACACGTTTTAGGTTTGGTTTGGTCACTCGCATTGTAATATTAGATTTACACAAAATACATTTTGGTTAGACTTATTCACGGTCCACTGAAAAGACTCAAGATTGTAATACAGTATGCCTGCCTGGCTGTTTATTGAGTTAAAGCATATATAATTTTTTCTTAAAGTGGTATTTAATCATGGATTTGAGTAATGCAAATTGTACTCAAACCTGCTATATACAAGCTTTACTACGCATCACGTTCTAAGTCTACAATTCGATTACATATAAAACTACTATGTCATCTAAGGAATCGTTATATGTAGCAATCGGAATGTTTCTTGAAATGAAAGTAACTATGAACCTGATTTTGAATTTTTCTAGATCATCATCAGTTGTCATCCAATCTAAAGCAAGATGCAGCGACGGATTTCGAGTCCAGGCCCAACTGTGACTTACTGTTGTGTGAGATCCGGGCATAGACGGTAGAGACTAAAATATATAAATATTTTATTACTACTTATTTATTTTGCTTGCGGAAGAATAAATTCTTTTTTTAGAGTTAAGAATGACTCAAAATGCTTGTTCGTACAAAATTTACTAAGTGAGATTGGTTTTTCTATTATATGGTCTGTTATATGGATGACGCGCAATCATGTTTCTTTTGGACAAACAAAACATTTGATGAATGTTGTGATTAGGGCTGGGCATTTTCGGATACCAGATGACCAAAATCAAACCGAATTTTATTAATTGAATCTCGAATACTTGGAAGATATGCAATTTTATGTTATTTTTTTTATTGTAGAACGGGCTTCGGCCACATAAATTACTGAAAACATTTTAATTTTTTTTTTGAATCTCCACTCTGAACAAGAATCTGATTTAAAACGCGGAAGCTTAACAAACATCGATGGAAGTAAACTAGGGTTGAACAATTGAGAATCGACTAACAGAAAATCCAAAATATCCAAACAACGACCAGGGTGTCAATCACTAGACATTATGATCATAAATATTGGATTATTACTTTTACTCACCGCATTGAAACAGTCATGACCACGCACATTGTCGAGAGCTTCGATATTTATAAAGTGACCGACTGGAACACTGTCGTTGCCAGGGTTTCTCGATTGACAGTAGAATCCTAGAATGTTTTCTGGTAACCCCGAAAGATGCACTGAATTTGTAATAATAATAAAAAATGTTCAAATAGAAATATTCGCGAAACATCTTTTTGGTATTAAATATGGTAACGGTATTGGATATTTAATTATTTAATATTTGAGTATTTGATATAATAAACTTGCCTTTTATCGGGTGGTGTGGAATGAATAAATTAGAATCGAAATAGATTCCGTAAATGGATGTAGACGTCGGTTGCGACTGGTTCGAATGTCCTGGAATCATGCTTTTACAAACTACCCAGGGGATGTCGCCATTACTATATGATTTAACTTCGTTTATGAAACATAAACTTGCAATACAAATAATTGAAAATATTGCAGACATTTTTACCATTCCCTACGTGGTAGTTTCTGAAATAATAGTGTTGCTATTTTATTTAGGTATTTTTGAAATACATGGATATGCTGAGAATAGAGATTTAAAAGTATGTCCCATATTAAGAGTTAATTAAGCAGCTGATGGCACCGAGTTAAAAAGGATTGATTCTCATTAGTGCTCGGATTTCTGAAATTGCTAAATTTTCGAATAAGAAAATTCTGGCATTGACAAATAAAATATATTCTTTAGTTCGAAATTGAAATTCGACCCGCTCGATACAATTTTATTGAAAGACGTTATTATGCGTTATTGTATTACGTTATTTCTACTTCTCTCTTCTCATCGCACGCAATAAACTATCATATTGATTGCATTTTAAAACTAACTAACGTCAAAACTGTCAATATTATTGGAATTTTGAATGTAATATCTTTATAGGGTCGAAATATTAGTGACAATTATTTCATATATTATAATTTGGACCTGTGTCAATTACATGGTTTAATTCAATCTTCAACTACAAGAGAAGAAGTCTCGTACAAATTACATATTAAATTTTGTGTTATAGGTATTTGTTCGGTGCAAAGTCACAGAAAAATTCATTCAGAAGTAAAGTAAAGTCACTGTAAAGTTAAGTCACGAGTGACCACTGAAGAACCAAGAGCTAAATAGAGATTTGCAAATATTTGCCGATGTCACTATCATCGAGTTACGTTATACTGGTAGAACGGACACTGGTAGAATTTGGAGAACATTATATTTTTACTTTTATATACGACGTCTGGCCAACGGCAAATAAATGGCAGGTCACTTCAAACCCAATAGGGTCTCTGAAGACTTTTATTTCTGAGACAAGCAGAGTGCTGACACTACAGCATGTAAGCTTTATTTTAGAAACAATACCGCTAGTTTTTTCAAATAGCCCTTACAAGTTATGCTAAACTATCAATTTTTTCACTGACAAAAATATACTTGTTATTTTAAACTATTCTTTCCTTACAAGTTATTTAAAATTGTCTGACGAATTCATAATTTATATGTTATCATTTCTTGGCTTAAATTCGAACACAATTCAATTCGAAGCTGAATTTATTAAATATTTTACTGAAACGCCTACTGTGTACTTTCTGTTAGTATTTCTAACCTGAAATTGCTATATATTCATGTTTAAAGCCAATATTATCTGTAGTTATAAATAGTTCGGCAGCAAAAAATGGGTATCACAGTCGATTCTGAGAATTATCGTCACGCTAAAGTGGCGTTCCATATTCCTACGACACTTGAAGAAGTCGTTTTCGCCTGACTGCCCCATTGTTGTGTGCGTTTCCAATGCAGGGTCGTTCTTACAAAACATACATTTCTCGAGTTATGGTTGGTGTTTTTAACGCGTTATGCCAAAGCCCGCTATGCTGTTTTGGCGCAAGCGAAGCTAACGGTGATAAATGTTTATCAATTGGCGCTCGGAATCGGATATAATATTGAAAATTCTATTATATTATCAGCTCAAATTAAAGCTTATTTTTTAGGATGGATGAAAAAATAATATAACGTCGGATGTGTATGTCCTATTATTCGAGATTAATCTGCGTAACGGTCGCGTCATTACGTTTTCGAAGAGCAATATGCCTGGATAATTGTAGATGGTCACGAGCTGTTTACGAAGGCACGGATCAACCTGTGTTATATCACATGATATTTTTCGACGCTTGTGAAATAAATAACGATTGCTTGACATCAATTTGTAAAGGTATCGTAGATTCACTTCGTATCTTGTCGAATAATACTAACTTATATGTCTGTATCATTGATAAATCGAAATGAAGCAGCAGCCAGAGGTCGCTGCAACTTCTTTAACATAAACTGAATTTACTTATACATGGGGGATTGCGCATTTCTTCGAGCACACCTTTGGGACATTTAGCAAGCACGAGTGGAGAGCAAAAAATTACATATATATCTAATTAAACAAGTCTTTCCACCACGTCCTTCAGTATCGACGCATGTAACATACCGGTCATTCACACACATACCCAACTTAGGCTTGTAACTGTACGATATACCGTTCTCCATCATCTTTTTTTAATTCAAGAATGTTACCATATTCGTATAAAAATCATAACTGATGAGAAGCTAGAACAGGGGTCACCAAACTTTTTTGACCGCGGGCCAGGTATGACTCAAACTGTGTTGAAACCAGACCAATATTTTTGTCAATGCAATGCAATAAATTCCCAAAAGTTGGGAAATCCATTCAATTTATTCAGCAATATCAGATCTACATTTCTGAAGTCTTGAATAACAAATTTATATCAGAATATAGATCAAGAACATCATAGCAAAACAAATATACAATATTTCTAGATAACCATCCTGAGGTTAGCTGTTAGCAAAACAATTGCTGTCACGATTGCATGTAAGCAGTACAAAAGTAAATGTGACTATTAGCGCAAAATGCACGTTCGACGTTCATTTTAACACGAGAAACGTACACAGCAAAAGTTTCGCACAAAGCACTTGCTACGAGTGTACGCGTGCATCCTTCGCAGAAAACGGTAAAGAATTTTATAGCCTATTTTATCACAGATATTTCTAGACAATTTTTGATTACTGCAATTAAACTACAACACCTGAGATAGCAAAATGATGATTGACTTATTCGATTCATTTTTAAATTTCGAAATCCATACTAAAAACTAACGAATAGCATTCAAAATCGCGAGATCGGAATACTGTTTAACATCACCACTGAAAATCTGTCCTAGTGACAAAAGTGTCTGAACGGATGCGAAAAGGTCTATTGTTACGTCACGTTTTGCATCTTGCTGATTGGCCAATGTTACCAAATAAACAAGGAAGTCGATGCTCTGGGAAACATTTTTTGGAAAAGAATTCGCCACTATTTCGTGTTATTGCGGGCCAGACGAAAGGCCACCGCGGGCCGGATCTGGCCCGCGGGCCGTAGTTTGGTGATCCCTGAGCTAGAAGATAAATAAGCAAAGTATGAATAAAAACAATACTAAATCAATATTTATTATAACAAGAAATTGTTAGTGGTGACGTATGCAATAATTTTGCGAAGCATGAAAAAAAATGGTTCGTGCTTGAGGGCATCCATTTCTGGAATTATTATTACTTTGATATTTGGATCAAAGTCAGTGAAACAATGTCATAAATTCGATTTCAAGCACGGATAAAATTAAGGGTTGTAAGTCATTGGCGAGCTGCACATACTTTTAGAAGGTTGAAAACCGAACGAATGATACTTTTTATGATAAAAATAATTAATAATTAGTTTTTCAGGTACGACCTCTGCCTCTTTCGACTCGATGTGCTCATTACTCGGCGTTCTCCATTACAGCCTGTATTGAGTCATTCCAAATGAAACTGAGAGACCAGAGTGACTTATTAGCAAACAAATGCAAAATATCTTTATGACATCACTCATATTCATAAGTGTAATTCTTCTTTAATAATGGCTATGATAATGGCTATGATATCATAATAATGGCTATGATATCATAATAATGGCTATGATACCATGTGCACTTCCTACGTGTTAGCACAATATATGAAATCATTATTAGTTCTTCAGGAAGGACTGTGACTCTTTCGACTTGATGTTTTTTATTTCTTAGTGTTCTCCATTACAGCCTGTATTGAGTCATTTCAAATCAAACTGCAGAGACCAGAGTGACTTATTAGCAAACAAATACAATGATACATTCATGACTTTACTCATATTCATACTTTTAATTCTTTTATGATAATGACTTTGAGGAAGTAAGCTAAAGATAATTATATATCTATGGCACAAATTTAGATGCCAGACACGAGCTAGTGTTAACCTAGAGTTTGAGCATGTCGTAAACAATTTTCGTTAATATTTAATAAGTCATTAATTAACCGTGCCTGTTACTGAAAAATTAAAAGTTTTCGTCGACACGGCATAATAGCTAATGAGTGTCCAAAAAAGTTATATCGTAGAATTATATGCCGGTTAGCGCGTTCCAGTGGAGATATGGACCGAGTCTGAAAACAAACTGGTCACAACACTGCAGTCAACAATAAACCTTTTTGGGACTGAGTTGTTTATATAAACCAGTTACATCGCATACTTGTAAATTTAATGCTATTACAAATGTGTTTTGGGCTACCGGCCAGATAAATCTCGTTAAAGATCGTCTTTGACTCCGGTGTGAACGTCACAAACAATTTCGTCTTATGTCTGTAAATTGTGTTCAAGGTGGGACGGACTGGAATTTGCCCATTTATATTGTTTTATTGGTTTATATTATCTCAGAGTCGCACACAGGAGTGTGCGAGGTGTTTGAGCCATGTTTTCGACTGATATTTTGCCAAATGGGGCAGATTTGACTATTTTTGGCTGGCTTCGTGACTGCAGTTTAGCATGTCACTCCCTCTTCTTTACCTGGCTGCCGTTAAGGTTGAACGGGAAACGGGTTTTCGTTGTTCGTTATTTTATCTGTTCAATCCATGCCTTTCTTATCGGTCATGAAGTTTATTACGTGCGTCATCCTACTATCGATCCCATTGTTTGGCTTTGCAGCACATGGAATCTTCTGAGGGATTTCAGCCTTTGCAAGCATGCCGCACCGCACCATTCGTGAAACCGCACCGCTGAATAGGTTATAACGCCAAATCCAAGCTAATCATTTACGATATTTACCAACGCCTCGCACGTATTATCTGTTATAGTGATGTTCAAATAGAGTATTGGTTCTCAAAGTGGGAGACCGAGGTCGTTTAGGGGTCCGCGAAACAATTTAATTAAGAGGGGTCGCGCAGCAACTTTGATTGTGACACAGAAGCACTGTTAAGTGAACTTTTGACGTCATGCTAGTCGGCTATACAGTGTTTCTCAAAAATACGACACTATTTTGAAAAAGAACTGGAAATTGCTGAAAGGAGTTTTAGCAGTTACCTGGAAAATGCACGGTTTTCTGCAAGAAATAAAACATGAGGTTCACGAAAAAGACAGGTTTGGAGAAAAATGTACCTAAATTAACTTGAAATGATATTATTCCGGCAATATTTTGCAAACTATAGACTGACTTAGTAGCC